AAGATCATAGCTAAACTACAATGTCTCATTAGAAATTTGTATCCTGAATTTATGGAATAACCTCACAAAGATTAAGATATGTTATTCCAAGAGTGAAGGCTTTCCATTGTTAAGACATTACCTTTGCAATAAACCAAATCCATCCATTCACAAATTCATTTGCACTTGTAGGTGTGATTGTGCGGTACCTTTCCTACTCCAGATTTAAAGGAAACAAAGGAAACCAAATGCTTGCTCCTGAAAGAGCTTGAGACATTGGTTTCTATGAAAAAAATAAATATGTATTATATTCAGTTTGCTAATAAGCAGCCCGAATGACTTTACTAAGAAACAATTTCCTACATGTGCTGCTGCAGCAAAAGAGCTGGAACAGCCAAGTCCCCATTTTCCATTTCCCACAAGGGGGAGGTGTGTGCGTGCAACTGCTTACACAAAACCCACGCCAATCCAGATGCCAGCCCTGATTTATAAATTTGTTCCTCCAAAACAGAGCCAACCACCATAGTCCTGCCCTCATTCCTACACAGCATTTGCTGCCTAGCTATAGGGCAACTGTTTTATAAGTTAGAATATTTCCTGGAGAAGTTTGTAACTGACTGTTTGAGTAAGAACAGATGATGTTTTTTCTTCAGCAAGAGAGCAGCCTAGAAACAAAACCTTCCAGGTTTTCAGAGACGTAAAGTCGCAGAGGTCTGCACCTCATCACCATCAGTGCCTCCACAGCATCTCCGCCACCAACGGGGAGAACAACCTTTCTGTTGGGCCAACACAGAGCGAGCAGCTCTCCTCTTTGCTGCCTACCACCTGCTGAAGCAAGCGAGGCCGTTGGCGGTTATTAATAACCCCCTCTCCAGACATGCTGGAGAAGTGTGTAGTCACGCTTCTGAGCTGTCCTTAAGCAATTCCCGTCTCCCTACCAGAAAGTTGTAATCCGTCAGATCGTGGTTCTAAGAATAGACTCGCAGAACATTATGTGTCGGGGAGGGGGCAGACCTCATCTACTGTCTCCTAAAAAATCTTTTTATAGAAACTGTCTAAAAAAAGCCTGGAAGCTTAACAGGGAATATGGTTTAGTTTTTAAAAAATAAAAATAAACTTCTGCAGTACCTTCGATTGCAACCTTTTAGAACCAGGATTTAAGTTACAAGACTTGCCATTACAGTGATATTTTAAAGCACACATTTCCAGAATAAAATCATTACAGAAATACTCACAGGTTACCTCTAATTTAAAACTAATTATGCAATGAGGGTATAAAATCAGGGAATCTGAAAAATCTAGTGAAGGCTGTTCTGTGAATCAAGATTCCAGAGGGCTGTCAAGTGTTCCCAGTGAGGTCACAGAAGGGACAGAAGCTAGCATGCTAACAATTTCTGATGAACCTTGCAAGTGATCTTCCATTGCAGTGATGTGAAAGAGAAGACTAAAGATGGGGTAGCACTAGGCAACAGATACCAGTAATCCTCCCGGTGGCCACCCTCCAGTCTGGAATATTTCCCCCAGAAAACCATGTAACATTCGCTATGTGGAAAAAAAAAATACAATACTTGAAAACAAACAGAACAGACTGGCATGTGGTGCAACATTTATTAAAAAAAAAAAAAAAAGGAAACTTCAAGGTCTTTGGCTGTTCTTTACAATTTCATCAACGAATTAGCTCCTTAGCTGTTAACAACTGACTACCACCAGCCTACAAAATCCCACCACTAGAAGACTTGTCGGTCACATTCATCAGCAACATCAGAAACTCCACTTTTTCAAACTTGTGTCCGAGGAGAGAGAGCATACATACCTGTGAGAGTGTGTCTGTATGCAGTCCTCAGAAAATACACAGGGCACTGAAAAGTAAAAAAAATTATCTCGATAAAAGCAAATAAATTGATATAGGAAACGGCAATGTAGGAGCACCACAGAAGGTTTATATTGCAATGATGACTAATACACTTGAGCGTATCAAGATCTAGTATTTTTTATGGGGAGAGCAATTTTCTAAGGGGCTAGCATGAGGTTTTTAAAAATTAATTTTTCTAACAGATGCTGCTCAATAGAGAGAAGATGAGTTAAAAAAAAAAAAAGTGTCTTACATTGGAGAAAGAAGCAGGTGCAATTTGCAGTGGTCTCCAGCTGTGAAGGGAGTTAACTTCAAGGTTTCTACTGGACAGCAAAGGATTTTTGTCTCCTGCATGGATGAACAATATACTTTTGAGAAGGCATCTCAGAGCCAGAGGTGTCAACCACAGTCATCATCATCACTGAGTTTAGGCAACCTTTTAAAGAAGCTGCGACAACTAAGTCGTGAGCACCTTCAAGATAATTCAGAGAAGCCTTAATTTTAGTTGGTATTTCCTAGGAAACTAGAACAAGGCCTAATGTGCTTGTATCACAGCTTTGCACACACATGTGGCACACATGAGAGCGTTCAGTGCTACGAGACCGTAGCAGGGCACATTTGCACACAGGTCCGTCACACTGTGGCAGTCCAGAACGGCAGGAATCCTGAGCAGCAGTTCCCCCGTTGTCACAATCTTCTCCTGGACATAAACTCGGCAAGAGTCTGTTTGAAGTAACTCTGTTTAGCCCCACTATGTGCTATGGATAAGATATTCCTGAAGCTCACTCCTTAAATGCAGTTTCACTCCTTTCCATTAATTTCCAGACCGCACTTGTTTCAGATAGTTTATAACCATTTATTTATTCTTGTCAGCACTGTCCTTCAGCTTAAAATCGTCAACGTTTTCTTTGTCTATCAGTATAACCACCATCTTGCTTTGTGTTCAGCTTCAAAAGGCTGTTCTTCATCCAAGGACTACCCTCAACCTGATACAAGGGTTTCCTTGTGGGAACAGTGACCAGAAGACATGCAGAACTGTGTTGTTTCTGTCTGGTGCTTGAGCCCAGATCAGTGGTGCCCAACGACAGGACAAGGGGCAACGGGCACAAACTGAAGCATACGAAGTTCCATCTGAACATGAGGAAGAACTTCTTCCCTCTGAGGGTGACGGAGCACTGGAACAGGCTGCCCAGGGAGGTGGTGGAGTCTCCTTCTCTGGAGATATTCAAGACCCGCCTGGACAAGGTCCTGTGCAGGTCTCCTTCTCTGGAGATATTCAAGCCCCGCCTGGACAAGGCCCTGTGCAGCCTGCTGTAGGTGACCCTGCTTTGGCAGGGGGGTTGGACTAGATGACCCACAGAGGTCCCTTCCAACCCCGAACATTCTGTGATTCTGTGAGATCACACCCCTCTGCAGCTGCATGCAGAAACTTGATGGGAATGATGGAGAGAGCTGCTCTCCACAAGCGTGGAGGAGTCTTGTAGCGGAGATGTGACCTCCCACCTTGGTTGCATCTCTCCAAGGAGTACGTAGAAGGTTTTGGCCTGCGTGTGCCCCCTCTCTCTATGGCTGAGTCTGACATTGCAGGAAGGCCTGGAATGGAAGTCTTCCATCTTTCAGGAAAAACATTCCCAAAGAAACCTTTGCCACTGCCAGTGGGAATGATCAGCCCTTGACTAGCGATTGTTGGCGACACTGCTGCTTCACTTCTGGCAGATTCTGGTGTAACTACAACTCTGCAGCTACAGAACAAAGTTAGACCCTGCTGAAAGTGTGAGGCTTCTGACCACGACCGCACACAACCGCTGTCCCACAGCCAAGGGCCAGGAAAGGCGCAGCGGCCGGAAGCCAGCGGGGAGAGGCTGCGGCCTCCGCAAGAGGCACTGATCAAGGTTCTCCCGGGCAGCACTCGGTGGAAGGAACGGAGGCGCACTCGGCCGAGGCCACCTACAGGCGCTTCAGGGGCCCGTGTAAG